ATAATATGGAAATTAACACCTTGTTGGATATATGACTTGCGAATATTTTCTCCCAGTTTGTGAGTTGTCTTTTCTTTCTTTTTTTTTTTTTTGTGAGGAAGATCGGCCCTGAGCTAACATCCATGCCAATCCTCCTCTTTTTGCTGAGGAAGACTGGCCCTGGGCTAACATCTGTGCCTATCTTCCTCCACTTTATATGGAATGCTGCCACAGCATGGCCTGGCAAGCGGTGCATCGGTGCACGCCCGGGATCTGAACCTGGGCCGCCAGCAGCAGAGCGTGCACACTTAACCAGTACCCCATGGGTCTGGCCCTGAAGGTTATAATAATGGCCTTAATATTCGAAGATGAAATCCAACAGGACAAGTGCAGGATCCTGCACTTTGATGTAAAAATTCTGTTGCATGGATACTAAATGAGAGAGTATGGTTTAGTGAGACTCGTGGCCCAGCCCCACCCTTCCTTTTACTGGCTCCCGTGTCCCCTTCCTTCCTTGACCTGCAGCCTGCTTTGTTTTCCTCTGAGAGCTGCCTCTGTGCACTCCATTCCTTGGGGTTCTCACCCTACCCCAGCCTGGCTTTGGTCATGATCTCTTTAGTTGCCTCCTAATTAACACTATTCTGAAGACCAGCACTAGTGCCCTTTACGTTTTTCTAAATATGTGCTTTAAAAGAATGTGTATTCCCTCTTAGCTGGAGTGAATGTTCTGCACATGCTCTTGATGAGGCTCGGAGCTGAACTTTTAAAATCTCCTATGTCCTTACCTATCTTTTTCTGCTAGCTCTATCAGTTTCAGAGAGAATTGTGCTAAAAATCTACCACTGTTGGTGGTGGAACTTATTCTTGTAATTGTGTCAAGAGTAGATTTATTTTTAGTCTGTTGTTAGATATAGATTCAGGACTATTAAAAACTTCTTGGTGACTCTCTTTGACTCTAATAATGTTTTTTTGCTTTAAAGCTTATTTTGCTGATATTAATATTGTTTGTGATAGTTAATTTTATGTGTCCACTTGGAGGGTGTTTTTGGATGAGACTGAAAGCAGATTGCCTTCCACGATGTGGGTGGGCTTCATCCAATCCCTTGAAGGCCTGAAGAGAACAAAAAGACTGGCAAGAGGGAATTCTTCAGCAGACTTCCTTCCGCCTTCATCTGCACCATCCACTCTCCTGGGTGTCCAGCCTGCTGGTCTGCAGTGCAAATTTTGAACTAGACAGCCTCCATAATCACATGAGCCAATTCCTTATAATAAATCTCTTTCTGTATATATGTACATATCCTATTAGTTCTGTTTCTCTGGAGAACTCTGACTAATAACAATACCAGATTTTTTGGTCAATATTTATTTGGTATGTCTTTTTTCCCATTTCCTCCTGGAAATGGTGGTCTCTTAGAAATAGCAAATAGCTGTTTTGTTTTACCTTTTCATATAGTCTAAGACATCTGTCTTTTAATCATTGAGTTTACTCTGTTTATATTTTCTGTGACTATGGCCTTGGATGTATTTGGACTATTTCTACCATCTTATTTTTTGTGTCTTGTTTTTACAATGTTTATTCTTTGTTCTTTGCCTTTTTCCCCCCTGCTCTCCTCCTACTTTTTATCTAATTGATTGTTTTCTTCTTTTAAATGGAGAAACTTAAGCTTGGGTATCTCTAATAAAACCAATTTTCAGGGAGGAAAGCAAATCCAGAAATAGAAAAAAAAAGTTAAAACTGGGCCACAGAAAAATCTGGATTCTTATAACTGAAGAGATTTATGCTTTTGATAATGGAACTTATGTTACAAATGTTTTTTGTTTTTGCTTTTTGCTGAGGAAGATTCACCCTGAGCTAACATTTGCCCTGAGCTAATTCTTCCTGTTGCCAATCTTTCTCTTTTTGCATATGAGCCACTGCCACAGCATGGCCACTGACATGGTGTAGGTCCACGCCTGGGAACTGAACTTGGGCCACCAAAGCAGAGCATGCTGAACTTAACCACTAGGCCACCAGGGCTGGCCCCAAATAATCTTTTAAAGCTTTCATTTGATATTCTTGGTGTTGGCTTCCACAGGACAAGTGAGAAAATCCTCAATTCTTTAGCTAATAATCTATGAGGAGCTATTTGGCTTTTTTGTCATCCCCATGGGCAGCTTCCTTCTTGGGGTGATAAGCTGCCCTGTCCAATATGGTAGCCACTAGGCACACGAGGCTATTTAATTAATTACATGTAAACACATATTTAAAATCCAGTTGCACTAGCTACATTTCATGGACCCAGTAGCCCCATTTGGTTGGTGGCTACTATTTTGGACAGCACAGATTATAGAACATTTCTGTCACTGTAGAAAGTTCTATTGGACAGGAAGTGATAAGCCTACAGTAGTACCACAGCTTCATGCACCTTGGATCAGAGCTATTTGAGAAACCACATCATGTGGCAGAATTTAGAACTGACAATCTACAGCAGCATTCTGTAATGTTCTTCTAGCATCTTCTGCTCCTATGGCGAACAGTGACCAGCATGGGGAGCGATGCCCACCATGGAGGCTATTGGGGGCTCCCGTCCCTGCACACAAACTCCAGGCTTGGTGCCCACAGGACATTGGAAGTGATTTATATGGAGCAACAGCTTAAGGAGTGCTAGTGATAACAGGGGCTAAGGTGCTAATTCCTGTACAGCAGTGGGGATCTTGACTTTCTGAATGATATGGGGAGACCAAGAAAGGCTGGAGCGTTTCTATTTGAAACCAGGTTACAAAGGGTTGGGCATGGCCCAGAACGGCCCATAGAATTTGGCATTCTTTTGAAGCTTTGACCTTCCACCTCGTTGCCAGACTGGTTTAGGTCTCATCTGAACCAACCGGTTAGGAGGTCTGCCCTGAGCCTGTTGCACCACTGGAACAAGCAACTGACAGCTGCAGGTCGGATTTAGGTTGGGATTGGCAGGGAACACCCATGCCAGCCATCATTTACCCCTGCAAATCCTGGATGGGCAGGTGAGACTTTCTTCTTCTGGGCCAGCCAACATACATTATTAACACACATGTGCCCATTCATTGTAGGAACAGCTTTGCCTCTTTGAGGAAAGAGAAGCTGAGAAAGTCCAAGCTCTTGGCTTCTCTCTTGCTCCAGCATCATCTTGGAACTGGTTATGTCCAAGAGGAGAAAATTCCTCCCTTAACTTTTCATTGTCAGTGGTATTAGTCAGGCTCATATTCACTTGGATTGGATTAATTCTTTCATGTTTCAGCTGCTCAAATTCTTGTTCTTATCCTTGCTTGTGCTCAACTTCTGGGTAGAGATGACAAATATGATCTTTCCCCACCAATTTCCTTATAATTCGTTTCTTCCACACGTTGTTGGTATTGTCAAGTTTTTTGCAACGCACAAAGTCAGTCTTTGGATTTCCCACTGGGATCTGTCATCACCTTGACACGTCAGCATCTACCAAATAAACTAAAATTATCTTTCAAGATGTCATCATCCGTATCTTCCCAAAGTATCAACCTTGTGTCAGGTGCCGTGGTAAGTACCGGAATATAAGGCACAAGATAGAGTGGTGTCCTTGCCCTCATGGAGTCCCCCAGCAGGGGAGACAAATAATTAAGCTATGATGAAGTTACTTGCAATGAAATAAAAACTGTATTCTGCCTTTGCCTTTGTTTGACTTTACTGTTCTTTAAATTTGACATATGAAAATACAATATTTCAACAGTTCGTGTACCTGAAAAACAAATGTACCAAAACTGGGATGATGATGATGATGATGATGATGATGATGATGATGATGATGATGATGGATTTATTTTAAGAACAATTGTGTAAATCCCCAATCTGCTATGTAGGGGAGTGACAGAATAGAAGAAAGCTGCTCTCGTACAACCTGGGGGCGTGGGGACACCCAGGAAGTCTCCCCGGGAACATGGGGGTACGCCCAGCCTTGGCATTTCTACATTGCTTCCCGCACACATCGCCCCACCCCGCCAGCTGCGTGGCCGGGGCGCGGAGCCACAGGCGCACCCAGCGTGGCCCCGCCTCGGGCGCGCAGCTCGGCCGGCTCGGAACTACAGTTCCCAGAAGGCTGTGCGAGTCCGGGAGGGAAGCGGCGGCGGCGGCGGCGGCAGGAAGGGCGCGAGCGGCGTTGGCGGCGGCGGCGGCTTCCCTCTCGGTGGTCGGTCCGGCAGTCCACGACCCCCGGACGGAGGACGCAGTCCGGAGCGGCGCGCAGCCTCGGGCGCTGGCCGGGGCGAGCCGACGCCTCGGCCCGCAGGACGGGCCCGGGGCGGGATGTAGGGCGCTGGGCGCGGAGGCCGCCGGCGCGGCGGGGGGAGCGCGGAGGGCGCGCCGAGGATGGAGAGAGCGATGGAGCAGCTCAATCGCCTGACGCGCTCGCTGCGCCGCGCGCGCACTGTGGAGCTGCCCGACGGTGAGCGGGGCCGCGGGGCTGGGGGTGCCGGGGGGTGCGAGGGCGGGGCTCCGGCCGCGGCGACGTCGGGTGGCAGAACGAACCGAAAGCTGAGAAAACGCCCACATTGACTTTCCTTAGCTGGAAGGGGCCGGGCTGGGACCCCCGGGCGCCCGTCGCTACCGCTCCCGCCCGGGCGGGAGGGAGTTTGCGGGAGGGGCCCGGGCAGTGCGGGTCCAGCTGCTGAAGAAGCGGGACAGACAGAAGTCTCTCTCGGCTATCGATTTGGCAAAAGGGCAGAAATAATCAGCCGGGTGGTGGACACCGGGATTCAGAAAACATTACGGTTGTGGGCCATTTTGCGGACGCTGCTTGCTGGGGATAGAGAGATGCTCCAAAAATAGTGTATTTACTTTAAGCAGCAGAGGGGGGTTAAGAAGCTTCTTTTTTTTTCCTTTTCGGAAACGTAGAGAACTATTGTATTTTGACAATAAACAGATAAATAAAAGTGTCGAATAATCAAACGTGTACTCTTACAGTACTGTGTGTTTGTATGCATATATACACTTTTCTTTAAAATGCACGCCTGCCTTTATTCTTCATTTATTCATCAGACATAGGTGGGGCTGGGGAGCTTCTACAAAGAGGAATAAGGCACGATGCCTGTAGTTCAGAAGTTTTAGTTCAGTGTGCTGGGGTTCCTTTAGAACAGGTAAAACACTGTAATAAAAAGTGAGAAAGAAAACCGTTTTGTTTGCAGCCTCGTGAATTCAGACGTGTTAGTGGCAGTGGAGACGGCAGTGCTGCCTCTAAGAGGCTTTTGGTTCTCTATGCCCAAGTGAGAGAAGGTTAGGGGGTATGGGTGGTGAATTTTTTTTTTTTTTTTAATGCATTGTATTAGTTTATCTTTCATTTTTTTCCGAAACTTTCTTTGAATTGCTGCTGGAGAGGTGATTTGTAGGTTAGGGAAGGAGACCTTGGGAGTCATCAAAGAAATGTAGGAATGAGAACTTTGGGGATAATTTTCTTGAAAAAATTTTCCCTCGTCTCTACTTACGACAAAGAATAGGGATGGTTTGTGGTGACTGTTTCTCAAAAATAATTTTGCACTTGGTACTTTGCGCATATGAAGAAGTTGACTGAAAATAATCCAGATTTTAGTAACTAGACTTCCAGCTTCAGCTTTCTTTCTCTGTTTTCTTTCCAACTTCCACCTTTGAATCCGTTTCTTAAGTGCTGCTCTCACTCACTCATTTTCCAGTCAAATTATTGGTATAGGTTGATGAAGAAGACTGCGTGTATAGTTTCATTGACACAGCAATTTTATTGCTTAGTTTAATCCCATTTTTTTAAAAAGTAAATGTGATTTTTTTTTTTTTTTAAAGATTTTATTTATTTATTTTTCCCCCCAAAGCCCCAGTAGATAGTTGTGTGTCATAGCTGCACATCCTTCTAGTTGCTGTCTGTGGGACGCGGCCTCAGCATGGCCGGAGAAGCAGCGCGTCGGTGGGAGCCGGGGATCCGAACCCGGGTCGCCAGCAGTGGAGCGCGCTCACTTAACCACCAAGCCACGGGGCCGGCCCAGTAAATGTGATTTAGAAGACTTTGATAGTGTTTCCTGGTTTTAAAAGTAATATATTTTCGTTGTAGAAAATTTTGAAAAGAAAAATAAAAAAATCTGTTTTTCCACCACCCAGGGATAAACAGTGTTAGTATTTTCTTTATTTCTTTCCATTATTACTTCTTTCTCTATCAAATTAAGATCATACTACATATAATCTTTTATTTTGCTTTTAGAAAACGTATCACATTTTTTATGTCTTTAAATATGCATAATGACTTTGTAGGATTTCATAGGATACATGTAACAAATATTGAATCTAATTTTTGTTTTTATAGTAGATTTTATGAGGGGCACCGTTGTACTTTTTTAAGTCTTATTCTGCCTTTATAAATATTTCCTTAAGATTAATACATAGAAGAGTTATAGATCTAATTATATCAACATTTTTAAGGCTCTGAGTATCCACCTCTCATCCCACTCTTTGGAAAGTTCCACCAACAGTCCGAGAGTCCCTGGAAACTAGAGTAATTAAAAATAAAAGTTTCTTATGTTACTAGGTGAAGTGGTATCTTGCTTACATTTGTTTTTCCTTGATTATAATGAGTTGCTCATCGTGTTCCTTTAGTTTACCTTTGTCCCTAAATTCTGATGAATCTTTTTGAATTCTCTTGAGATTGGCTCTTTCAAGTATGTGTGTGTGTGTATAAATATATTATATTCTAATTATAAAAATCAAGATTGTTGTACTTGCATTTTAAGGGCTGAACAGAAGTTGAGATCTCTCTTCATATAGGAAATAATCAGATATTTATTTTGCCTTGTTAGAATTCAGTGATTTTAATAAGGATCTAATTGGAACAAATAATTAAGGTTGGAAAGTTTTTAATCAACTTTTACTCTAAAATTAATTTACTCTAAAATTAAGTTTGTTGCATAGGATTAAACTGCAGCTATTTGATTTACTGAATTGGATAGTGGGAGGTCACATTTATGTTTCCTTGGGATGATGAAAACCTGAGTGTTACCACTAAGGAATGGAGTGCAGTTGTTGAGTCATCCTAGACAGGGCTAACATAGGAATATTCTGTGAGAGAGGAAGTGAGGGGAAGAAATTACTTTAGGGAGATGGATTCTCAGTGGACTTTAAAAAGTTGGTTTATATTGTTTCCTTATGTGGAAAAAATAGTTTTAAACTACTGCATTTACAATGAAGGTAGTTTGTTTAATAAAATAATAGAACTTGAGCCCATTTTAGCATATATTTGAATGATGGTTTAGGATAATTATCACTTTTTCAAAAATTGCTCCCATGGATCTGAGCTCCCTGTTTTTTAAGGTTTTCCTTTTGGTTTTTGAGTTATGAAACTTTTATCTATTAATAAAAATGGCCAACATATCTGATAAAGTGAGAGAGTAAACTTTTCTTATCACTCTAAAAACTTTTAATTATATACCTGGTCCTCAAGCTGTCTTCATGAGTGTGGAGAAGGAAGCATGTGACAATAGATTTTATTCTGTTCTTAGTATAGTATTTCCTGGATAGTTTCCTTCTAGCACCTATGTTTTTATAGGGTTAGATATGACTTAAAAAATAAGATCCATATCTAAATTTTATGTTAATAAACACCCTATACATAAAACCCTTGTGAACCTTATGATGCTCACTCATGCTCGCTTAAAATTATGTACTGTCTTGATTTATAAGTTTAAATTCACAAATAAGGGTATTTCCTGTTTCTGACTTTGTTTATTATGGAGTGACTTAATTGAAATTGTCATGATTTAGAGGTTCAGATTTTTATTGGGTTGTGTATTACATGAGAGAGAAAGAATGTGGCCGTGCCCAGGGAGGCTTAATGCAGTGTTTTTCAGTGCCTAGTGGTGACTCACTGGTAGTTAATGAGAACAGTTTAGTGGTTGCAATCAGCATTTAAAAAAATGACGTAGAAGAGAATAAAACAAATTAGAGTGTATTGCACATATTAAGAATAAGTACTATAGACCTTTTGGTTACTGTATGTAGTGTATACTGGGTGCACTGTAAGATTTTTATTGTGGGGGCCCTGCAATCAGCCAGGTTAGAATTCTAACTTAGCCACTTAATGCCACCACCATGCAGGTTGTTACTTAGTGCTTCAGTTTTCTCATTTGTGAAATGGGTATAATAATAATGCCTACTTCATAAGGGGGTTGTGAGGATAAAAGAGATGCTGCATGTAAAGTGTTTAGAACAGTGCCTTTAAGATAATGGTTTAAAACATGTTGGCTGTTACTAATAAGATTCTTTGGTATTATTTTATAGTGAAAGAGTTTTGTTGCATCTGCATACTGAACTTGTGAATATTGACTAGGACTAAATTGCTTTTCATATATGTACTCACAAACAGTAAAATAAAGAACAAAAATGTGAAGAAATGGTAATAACTTGTTTCCTCTCTCCTCTAAATACTTCAGTGTGTATTTCTAAATATATAAATTATATTTTTCAAACATAATCACAATACCATTATTAGAGCCAACGCAATTAACAATAATTTTTTATCATCAAATATGCAGTCCATATTCAGTTTTCCCCTCTCAAAAATATCTTCCTAAGATTTGTTTGTTTGAATCAGTATCTAAAGTCCACACATTACATTTGGTTGACTCATCTCTTAAGACTCTTTTAATGATAACAATTCCCCCTCCTTTCCCTTTTTTTTTTTTTTAACTTTTCATTTTTAAGTGATTTTAGGCTTACAGAAAAGTTGCATAAATAGTACAGAGGTCCCATACACCTTTCTCCCAGCCTCATCAAATGTTCATATCTTGTACAACCCCAGTACAGTTATCAAAACTAAGGAATTAACATGGGTGTGATACTATTAACTACATTACAGATTTTATTAATGAATTTTCACAAGTTTTCCCACTAATGTCCTTTTTCAATTTTAGGATCCAATCCAAGATACCACGTTGCGTTTAGTTGTCACGTTTCCGTAGCCTCCCCCAAACTGTGATAGGTCTTCAGTCTTTCCTTGTCTTTAGTGGTCTTGAGACTATTTAAGAGGACTGATCAAGTATTTTGTGGAGTTCCCTTTAATTTGGATTTATCCGATGTTTTCTCATGATTAGATTAAAGTTATGCATTTTTGGCAAGAACTCTGCAAAAGTGATATGCCCTTCTCTGTGGATCGTATCAGGGCTACATGATATTGATATATATTATTTCTGGTGATGTTACCCTTTATCAGTTGATTAAGGTGGTATCTGGTAGGTTCTTCACTGTAAATTGACCATTTTTCCTTTGTAATTAATCAATATTTTGGGGAGATACTTTGATATTATGAAAATAACTGATATTATGAAAATATCCTTTTTCTTCTCAAACTTTAACTCGTTAATTTTAGTATTGGTATTAACTGTTTGAGGCCTAGATGGGAGTTGTCAGGGTTACTTCTCTGTAATAACATTAAAAATCATAAACCTCTAAAATGCATTAAATTGAGGAATGACTATTAGTAATATATAAAAATAAATTCAAACATTAGCTGAAATTTACATAAGTATTATATGGTATCATAGGTGGTGTTTTTTAACCTTTTCTTTTTCTTTTTTCTTTTTTTTTGGTGAGGAAGATTGGCCATGAGCTAACATCTGTTGCCGTTGCCAATCTTCCTCTTTTTGCTGAGGAAGATTGGTCCTGAGCTAACATCTCTGCTCATCTTCCTCTATTTTGTATATGGAACGCTGCCACAGTATGGCTTGATGAGTGGTGCATAGGTATGCGCCCAGGATGCGGGCCTGCAAACCCCGGGCCGCCTAAGCAGAGTGTGCAAACTTAACCACTATGCCACTGGATCGGCCCCTTAACCTTTTCTTTTGGATTGTATTTCTGTGAATTTATTCTATAAAAGATATAAATGAAAATATGAATAGTAAAGTAATAAGTAAGACTTTAATGCTGTTTCATAAAAGCTTCTAAAATAATTTCTTTTGTTATAATATTGGCAAGAAGCAAGTACTATGTATATTTAATGTTTTAAAATTATTTTAGCACATATAACTTTAATATTCATATGTACTTAAAATTCCTCCAAACCATGTACGTGTAAGTATGATAAAATGAAGTCATTAAACACTTCTTTGGAAGTAAAATAAATTTCAGTTGTTAAAGCTACAGAAAATATTAGGTCTCTAATTTTCCCTTCAAATCCAGAAGCTAAACACTTTTGTGATGATGTAGAGAGGATGAGCATTAGAGGGGATAAGAAATTCTGCATTATTGCAAATTTTGCAATACGTCTGGTATTCTGCACTATACTTAATTTTCTTTCACCTCTTCTCGCTTTTTACGTGGAGTTAAGAAGACTTGAAAGTAGTCTTAAGTATCACCCTTTGGAAAAGGTAGGAGATAAATTAATTTTTTCTGTTTTTTTTTTACACTCAGATAATGAAACTGCTGTTTATACATTAATGCCAATGGTTATGGCTGATCAACACAGGTGAGTGCCTATTTCACAAATTTATAGTTTTTGAGCAGTATAAATTTTCCTAACTTTTGTGTGTACACACACACACAAAATTTGGACATAGATGTTGCCCTGGGGCAAGTTATTTAACCTCTGTTAATAATTTTCTGTCTGTGAAATAAGAAACAAGATTTTCCAAGATCCATATCAACCATAAAATTCTGTGGTAGGCGATTTTCTAAATGAATAGACAGATATTAAGTCAGGTGTTTGGTTGGTCCCTGACAGTGAAAAAAACATTCCGATGATTTCTGCTAGAGGTCAGTACTGATCTTTGTAGCAAATGTTTAGGGGTGAAGGACAAGTTATTTCCCCAGTGTTCTACTCCTTGGATGTTCTTTTTTTTATTTTTTATTTTTTGGTGAGAAAGATCAGCCCTGAGCTAACATCCGTGCTAATCCTCCTCTTTTTGCTGAGGAAGACTGGCTCTGAGCTAACATCTATTGCCAATCCTCCTCCTTTATTTTCCCCCAAAGCCCCAGTAGATAGTTGTATGTCATAGTTGCACATCCTTCTAGTTGCTGTATGTGGGACGCCGCCTCAGCATGGCCGGAGAAGCAGTGCGTTGGTGTGCGCCTAGGATCCAAACCCCGGGCCGCAAGTAGCGGAGCGCGTGCACTTTACCGCTAAGCCATGGGGCTGGCCCGGATGTTCTTTTTACTGATGTGGTGCTGATGCTCTTTTTACAGGGCACATATGGGATACAGTTATCTGGCTGTGTGATGAGGTGTGTACCCTTGTAGCAGACAGCTCTGCTGTGGTTAGCCATCAGGTAGTTTGGTATAATGAGAAGAAAGTGAAGAGAAACTGTATTTTGAAACAAGTTTAAAATATAAATGATTTTTTGCTTTAAACTTCCTATTTGATAGAGTTAAAACATGTTTTGCCTGATTTTTCTTATTTGGCCAAAATTAATTTAAATAGGCTCGGCTTTTTGCAAGGGGCGCAGCCAGCCCTACTCTCTTTGTTTCTCAAGGATCTAGGGGGAGCCGAAGCCAGCTTAGGTGTCCTCAAAGCAGGTGACACGGTCATAGCAGCAGACGAGGAAACCTTCAGCCAGTTTATAGGTCAGGGCAGATGGTTTGTGGATGGTACTGCGCTGGCTGCCATGCTCTTCTTAGAGAATAGCGCCTTGTTTTTTGGTTGATGTGGGACAGAACCTTCTGAATAATTGGTAAGAATAACTAAAGAGCTGCTAACTTGAGTTTTGTTTTTGTTTTTGTTTTTTTTTGTGAGGAAGATTAGCCCTGAGCTAACATCTGATGCCTGTCCTCCTCTTTTTTGCTGAGGAAGATTGGCCTTGGCCTTAGATCCGTGCCCATCTTCCTCTACTTTATATGGGACGCTGCCACAGCATGGCTTGACAAGTGGTGCATTGGCCGGATCTGAACCTATGAAACCCGGGCTGCCCAAGCGGAGGGCACAGACTTAACCTCTACCCCACCGGGCTGGCCCCGAGTTATTTTGTTTTTAAAAACTATTTTTTTTAACATATCGACTTTTCTTTTAATTCTCTTTTGATGTAGGTCTGTTTCTGAACTACTATCAAATTCGAAGTTTGATGTCAATTATGCATTTGGACGTGTGAAAAGAAGCTTGCTTCACATTGCAGCAAAGTAAGACTAAAGATATTTTGGGTTAAACTCTGGTCTAGAGTAATGATCAGTAAGCTTTGAATCAGTGTTATCCCACAGTAGTTATGGAGAGAGATGAGGACAGACAGCTGAGTGGTTCTTTATTCTATTTAGGGTGTAGTGTGCTATGCTTGCCTTCTTTCTCTAGATAAATTGTTAAGTCGCATCTCTACTGTCTTAGCTGGTTCTCAATCAGACCAGAGTAGGTTACGCATGGGGATTGTACTTAAGAGAGTAGATTGTACTTAAGAGAGTACATTCACCGAAATTTTCCTTTTATCCTACCAATATAAGATTTTACATGCTAACTGCATGTGAAGTCATTGGCTTTATATTTTTTACTTAGGTGTGAGAATGATTTTTATCTACAATCTTCAAGGGTATAATCAATCAGTAATCAAGGAGTAAAAAATCCTCCTTTAGGATTTAGGTAGATGTGTTAAAATTAACTTTTCTTAATAAATTTGGCTTCTGAAAGGCCAAAAAGTTGTGAGTAGTATATAGTTTCTTTTATGTACTAATACTTTATTTTGCTTTATTTGAAGTTCTCAAATGCTTCATAGCTTTCATAGTAGAATGTACCATCTTGAAAGTAGAGAATATTTACTATTTGTGACAGAAGTTAAATCAAAGTGTAGGTTAAAATGGACTTCAAAAACAATGTGTTTAATAGAGCTTTTTGTTTAATTAAGCTATGTCAACTGTGGCTATTTGCTGAATGTATCTGAACTGTTTTTAATATTGTTTTAGTTGTGGATCGGTGGAATGCTTGGTTCTGCTGTTAAAGAAAGGAGCAAATCCTAACTATCAAGATATTTCAGGCTGTACGCCCCTTCATTTGGCAGCCAGAAATGGGTAAATATTTTGTTTCCTTAAGTAGCTTAAGTTGTATTATCAATTGCAGTATTCAAGGCATTCTAGTTTGATTTGGTGATTTTTTTTCACCCAATATTTGGGAAGCCTTGGGAAGAGGCTCTTGGGTTGTTATAGTCAATTTTTAAGTAACTATCATATTAAGTTTATTGAATTGTTTGCTAGTATTTTACTTCTTGAAGATATATTTGTCGAAGTTCACTTTTACTTGTATTATAATGACATTGTATTTTCTGAAAAGCATAATTTTCATGTCTTTGTTTTGGTGTCATTTTTCGTGCTCATCTTTTGCGACTTCTAACTCCATGGCTTATTTTCCAAATTGCTTGTTTAGTTAATTTTATTAATGGAATTAAAGCCAGAGTAAATATATTATACCCAGTTTATTTATAATTACTTGAGAACGAGCTGTACTAGAGTAAGCTTTCTGGATAAGAGTAGCTTACTCCTTTCAGTGCCAAACTATTTTTCATTTTAATTATAACAAAAAAGTTTTCTAAATAAGTAATGTGCTTTCTAGGCCTCTTTTTTTTTTTTTTTTTT